CGTGATAGCATTCCTAACTTTCAATATGAGATTAAGCTAACACATCTATCTGACGTATGTCCTAAAAGTTTCGGCACAAAATATTTATCGGATTTTTTTAATGAAAAAAATTATTTAAACGTCTCCTTGTTGACATTCCAACCGGATTTTTTGCTCTGACTTTTGTGTAGTAAATGCACGTGGTCTTCCACTTTTTGGGAGATTCAGACATGGTAATCCCTGCTCGCACTCCGCTATTGTTTGATAAATGGTTCGCCGACTTGTAGATACTTTTTCTTATTTCTAATTTATACGACATCTTAAAGCGCAAACTTCAAAATAAACAAATGTCAACTGACAGTAAAGTAAGTAAACAAACTTTTGTTTCCAAAGGCAACTTGATATTACTTTTGTGTTAGCCAATGAATTTTGTGTCAAAACTTTTAGGGTATACGTTATATTCGAAAAACAAATGTGTGTATATTAGCAGCCCTGAAGTTTTTATGTTGTTTTATTAAATGATTTTTTTTTTAAAATTATGTGCTTTCTCAACTATACTATCGCGCGTCCTCAGTATTCCAAAAAGCGCACATCTTCCACCACAGCAAAGCTTGTATGCTAATTCCTTTTCCTCCAAATATAGGCAACGTGTATCGGCGGGTGTCTACGCATGTAAATTCGTGTTGTTTATATATATCCAAATTGATTTTTAAAACGTGTTACATCGGTTTAGTTCATTAGGTACGACGACTAAAACATGCGTTAGAAGTTTGTTCTCACAGAAGTATTTGTGTTACGTTCAACATATCTCTCCGCACAGCCCACGCAAAGTGGTAAGATAACATGAGAAAAATTTGAATGATAAAGGATACGTCTTCGTACTTCGATTTGAGTTTGATGGTACGTCATCAATTGACTTGAGGAAGAAAGAACTAATCGTCGTAGGATTTTGTTCATTGTTTATAGTTAAAACCATTGATTAGTTCTCGTGTGAGGTTTGCTCAGGCCGCAATTACTTTTGTCCACAGAATGATAGCATTGCAGCTTACATATAAAAGTACATATTTAGAAATCACTGTTTATGACGTTTCGGCTACCCCTATGAACTTTTTCAAAGTACAGTCAATGTGTCATCATTCACATTTTGATCTGTCAGTATGCAGTAATTCTACATATGTGGTTTCTTTCATTTGGATAGAAAAATGTGTAGTATATACAGGGTGGCCCATCCATGTGTGGACGGAATATTACTCATAAACAAATACATTTTGAGGAAAATCTATAGTGGCATGTTATGCATGACATGTGAGGGCACATTTCTAAAATATTGGCAATTATACAGGGTGTCCCAATTGTGACCTACATATCAAAGTTGTAAATTCTTAAATGGAATGCCTCAAATTTTATTGCAAATCTGGATAAACCAATTTAAAAGAAGAAGATTGATGTATCATACTATGGGGTTTTGGTAATTAGCTACTGAGATGTAAGGGGTTTTGTCCAGAAAAAACCGTCCACTTCGACCAACCCCTCAATCCGCCATTTTGAAATCTGGAGTGCTGAATTTTGTATCAAAAAAAAAATACACACCTCAGCTGTTATCTCATTTGTTACTTTTCGAATTTTCATTTTTGCTCATACAGGGTGGTCAAAATCGCAAAATGTACTTTTTCTCTGTATATTTGTACAAGTTTGGACTCAATTTTTACAAGCTTTTTTTGGTATGTGGTTTGATTCAGGTAAAATCACTAGATTTCGAGTTATTAAGGTTTTAATAGAACAACACACCAAAATTAAAAAATCACAGCATCCATGGAAACAAAAGACAAAACTAATAACAATCAAGACACTATGAATCAGCTTCAAGCGTAATAGAGAAAAACAACTATAACAACAACATAAACAACTATCACTAATCAAGACCTAATCTACAAAAACTGGTCGAAAATATCTCCACAATGTTGAATAGACAGTCGTAGTCTTTGGATAAATGACCGTCACATAAGTTCTGCATTATATCAGTTTCTGCTCCAATTTGCCGTGCACTTGCATGAGGCTTTTCCTGCAAATTAATAGAACCTCCAACTGATTCGCCTCATTGGTGACACTCGGATTATTTATACATTTTTCACTATATTCCGCTGCTCCACTAGATTCAAACGTTCTCGTAGTGTGGAAAATGTTTCTGGCCTTGTATGTCGCGTATTAGGGTATCGTTGCTTATAAATGCGAGATGCTAGGAAACTATTTCTTGGACTTCGCCCAGAACGAACGCCATATTCACCATTCTTTAGAAAAATTCATTTTCAAACAAGTTTCTTATTATAATGCTCACAAAGCTAATTTTGACAGTTTGTAACTAATCAACAATTTATTTGTTTCCAAGGATGATGCGATATTTTAGGTAATTAAGCCATTCCATAAAAGACGTGCTAATAACCGAACAATAGCCGTAAAAACCCTTATGTGCCTAGTATCAAAAAATCTTATAAAAAATGGAATCCAAACTTGCACAAATATACAGGGTGATGCATTTGAAATTTTTGAGAAAAACTACAATTTGCGTTTTTGACCACCCTGTATGAGCAAAAATTAAAATTCGAAAAAGTAACAAATAAGATAAAAGCTGAGGTGTGTAAATTTTTTTATACAAAATTCAGTACTCCAAATTTCAAAATGGCGGACTGAGTGGTTGCCGAAGTGGACGATTGTTCTAGACAAAACACCTTGTATCTCACTAGCTAATTACCAAAACCCCATAGTATGAGTTATCAATTTTTCCTTTCGAATTGGTTTATCCAATATGCAATAAAATGTGGGGCATTCGATTTGAAAAATCACAACTTTGATATGTAAGTCGAAATTGGGACACCCTGTATAATGGCCAATATTTTAGAAATGTGCCCTAAAATGTCATGTATATCATCCCATAAATAGAATTTCCCAAATGTATTTGTTTATGAGTAATATTTCCGTCCGCACGTGGTGTCTTCACTTTTTACTTCCCTTGCCACTGGCGAAGAGGTATTTATTATAATCGCAAACATTTTGGGAATGTGAGTTATTAGGTATTTTGGATGTCACTCATTCCGTCTGTTTGTCTGTCTGTCCGCTTATACTTGTCCATCTATAACTTGAAAAGCACCGCTCAGATTTGATGGAATTTTGACACAAGGTCGGTATTATGCCAAGGGCGAAAAAAACTTTTGTAAATCGATTCCATGGCCGCGGACTACAGGAAAAAACGAAAAACAAAAATCGCTAAAGCTTCGTTTTTGGGGACCCGTGCTCGTTTTCAGGGGTGGGGGCTGTAACATGTTGAATATTTGGTATTAGTCTCAAATGGCCTACTTTAAGGAAGTGTTTGATCCAAACAA